AGGAGAGCAGAGCACCGGCGGGGAGCAGGGGGCGGCGGCCAGGGCTGAGGGAGCGAGAGGAAGGGAACGCGGAACGGCCGAGGATCACCGAAATCACGAGCGAGGATCACCTGGCGTCGGAAAAACTGAGCGAAAAGTTGGGCCCGCCGCGATGGAGCCCGCCGCCACGGTCCGCACCGCCCCCCGGCGCCCCTTACCGTAGACGCGGACCCAGCCCTGCTGCTGGCACACCGAGTCCAGCAGGACGCGGTCCAGTGCTCCTCCCGCCGCCTCCAGCTCGTCCGAGCCCAGCTCCGGCTCCGCCAGCGCCTCGGCCGCCCAGGCCGCCGGCTCGCCCGCCGCGGGGGCCGCCTCCATGGCGAGGAGCGGGGGACGACCGCCGCCGCCGCCCGCGTTGCTGCCCGGCCGCGCCTCGCCTCAGCGCGGCTCCATCCCGCCCCTCGGCCGCCGCCGCCCGCCCCCTGCGTCAGCGCGACGGGAGGAGGCGGGGGAGGAGGCGGCCGCGCTCCGGCGCCGGGCGGGGAGCGGCGGGACGACGGGTCGTCGCGAGGGGACTCGCGCTTCGGGCCTAAGCTGGGCTGCGCGGAGCGGCGTGGGGCCGGAGCGCCGGGGGAATAGCGACGGCCGATCGTCCGTCTGTGCGCAGCTCTGCCCGGGTGCTGTGTGCGGTTCTGGGCAAGAAAGGCGTTGGGGCTCTGGAGTGTGTGTGGAGATGGGCACGGAGCCGTGTGGGGTGTGGGGCACGGTGTGATGGGGAGTGGCTGAGGGGATGGCGTGGGGCAGTGTGGAGGAACTCAGGGGAGACCTCGCTGCTCTACAGCTCCTAAAAGGAGGCTGTGCTGAGGTGGGTCAGCCTCTGGTTACACTGATAGGATGAGAGGTGATGGCATCAAGTTGTGCCAGGGGAGGCTCAGGTTGGGTGTGAGGAACGTTTCTCCTCCACAAGAGCAGCGATACAGTGGCACAGGCTGCCCACCGAGGTGGTGGGTCCCACGTGGAAGCCAAGGGTAGATGTGGCTGTGGCTGAGGGGTGTGATCGGAGCGGTCGCTGGCATCGCTGATGGTTGGACTTTCCAACCTTAATGATTCTATGGCTTGTAACAATCCAGAATAAGACATCTACGAACACAGCATGGATCCTGCTGTGTTTCAGATCATAACAGTAAAACATCACTTTTCAGGGAGGACAGGCAGGGATGCGGCTTGCACTGCGCTCCTTCCCCTGCCCTGTGCCTAGCACTGGTCGATACAAACCAGGCAAGTTCATCCAAGCGCACAGATGCTGTGATTATCTCCATGGTGCGGAGATGATGTAGCAGTGCAACCATCTCTCCAAAACAACATGCTAAGACCTAAAGCTTAGCACAGGCTGCCTCTAACGGCTCTTCTCTGTCCACAACTTCTGCCTTTATATAAAGATACAAATATTTTTGCCTTTATTCTGACACTTAAACAGCACTGTCGTTGGCACAGTCATTACCCAGCCATAAAGCCAGACCCGACTCTCCCATTTCCAGCCATCCTGCTTGCTGTCCTATTTCATTGTGAGCTACAATAAATAAGGGCATCCACACAGTGAGTTACTGCACCTTGGCTGAGAGCCGTGACCTCCCTCTGACGAGGCTGTAACTCAGCTCTGTGGTGTGGCAGGATCGCCCACTCGAACCCAAAGGTTTGCCTTCTGTGCTGAGTGTCATAGCTGCAGGACTCACACGATGGCAGTGAGCTGACTGGATTTGAGTACCTCCTACTGGTGTAGTGGGATGCACGATGGAAGACAAATAAATGGAGAAGTCCTGCCAGCCCTATGACCAATTGATGAAACCTTATTTTCTGGGGTTTTATGTCTCATGCTTGACTGAGAGCTTGGCCTGAATCTTGCCCTACAACTAGGTTGTTCTCTATGCAATTGGGCTCTGCTTTCTGGATTGGGATGAGGTGCAGTTTTTTTTGTTGTAGAATGGGAAGATGCACCTTACTGCCATTTCCAAACTGATTTTGACAGTAAAGAAACCTTCCTCAAAATGTTGTTTTGTGATCAGCAAAACCAGTGCAACCTGGTTTTCCTCCAGTTCACATCCCAAAGCAGAGTCATTGGGATCTGGCAAAGGGTGGGTGTCTGCTTTGCAGAGCCTCGTTGAATCTTTCTTTACCTTACCTCCAGTGTTCATTATTCCTACAGGAATTTAATTATCTCTTGGACCCTTATTACTCTGTTTGAAACAGATCAGCAGGCTCAACACTTTCTGCAGTTGTAGGAGATGAAACACAGGACAGTGGGAGAGGGGACATCCTGTTTGTGTTGTCAACTTCAATTTTCTGGGAAATAAGGGTTAAAAACATATCCTGCTATCCAAGAAGAGTTAAACCAGGCAGGAGCCTGTTGAGGATTCATCCTTTTCTCCCAGTGACAGGCAAAGGATAATTCTTCCACGTGTGTTGCAGCATGGCATAGCTCCTCACCTCCTGACCTGTCGCCTGTGGAGAGCCAGGACACCCAGTAACACTTCCTGGTTGCTTCCTGTCCCACACCATGCCTTGCATCGTGCTACCCAAAGGCCTGGGAGCTGAGGGTGTGCAGGGCTGTTCTTTTTGCAGAGAACATCGGCACAGATTGCCATAATGACACCACAAAGCAGTAGGGCAGCCAATTTCTCTGTCCTATGTTCTCTTTACCACTGCTCGTTCCACTACTGCTGATAATATACTCTCCAAGTTTATCTTTTAATGGCCATAATCCAATTAACTTGATAGTTGAGGTTTTTTCTCTGCAGTCCCCTCCTCTCCTTCAGCCTGCCCTGAGCTTGCATGGGCAGCTGTGGGGAAGTGGGGACGGAGCTGCTTGTATTGCGAGGGAAGGATGTGGCTGTTGAGCTTCTGCCAAGAGAATAATTGCAGAGTTTTTAAGAGTTGCCACACGGAGCTGGGATGACAATTTACACAGGATCTGCATGGGACAGCAGCGACTGGTTCTCATCAAGTAGGGTCGGCCCACTCCCAGTGCAACCCAAAAGTGGACTCTCTGAAATTTCGTGCTCTGTTGGGAAACAAAATCCATTCTTCTGCCTTCATTTGTGGGTTTTGGGGCAACATAAGCAATAATAAATAGCAGAGATGACTAAAATAGGAAGAGTGACAGTAGCAAAAATAGACATATTTTGTAAATAAGGATGTCCTGGAAACAAAGATGCCAGAGTTACAGGCTCATTGGTGCAGCTGTTCTGGCTTGAGGTCCTCTCAGCCCGTGATGCAGCAGGCATTTGTGAAGGGAGCATGACAGTGACCCAAGCACATGTGTAGGATTCCCTCTGTGAGAAGCAGAGCCATAAAGCTGCTCATAGCCTTCACATTAACACAGAGGCCCTGGGACTGGAACTTTGCTCAAACTTATCCCAAAGTTCTCCGCCAAGCAGCACGGAGAGGAACGGCCGCATCCAAAGCGGACAGAAGGAAGCGCTTTCTCACGCAGCACATAATTATATTCTGCAACTTATTGCCACAGGATGTCATGGAGGCCAAAAGCATAAATGAATTCAAAGAAAAAAAAAGAAAGGATTAGATGGATCCGTGCAGCCTCTGGCTCAGGAAGTCCCCCCGCCGCCGAGTGCCGGAAGCCGGGAGGAAAGCTTGCTTTGTGTGCTCCCTTTCCGAAATCCTTTCCTAAGCATCTGCAGCTGGAGCAGCCAGGGTTGCTACCCACATCCCACTGGACATTCCTTATGGATGGAACCTCAGCCCTGTTTCGTTCCCTTGGACCTGCTGTACCAGGGCTGGGTGCCAGAATCTCCACGGCAAAGCCCATTTGGATGGGAATGGTAGATAGTGTGCACGCTGATTGAAAAAGAGCAAAAACAGCGTGGGGGAAAGTTAAATATTAAAGAACGTCCCTCCTTCATCTCGTGCCAGCTGCCCCCAGGGTACGTGTGCGGATGTTGGGTTCCTACCTCGCCTTGAGCTTTATGCTGCTTCAGCAAAATTCTAATTTTTCTCTAATGGAGGAGAGGAATATCTGGTCCTGTTGCAGTGGGACAGTGTCCTCTGAAACACCAAGTGGCCCCGAAAAAGGGCTTCTGAGAGCCTTTCCTGCCAACAGCTGCCCGTGGAAGGGAAAATGGAGCTGGAAAAGCACGCTGCAGCCACATGGGCATTGTCCCTCTGATTTTGGGAGCTCTGTGCCACTGGTCAGACGCTCTGAAGCGGATCTGAGAAACCCTGCAGCTGATGTGAAAAGACATGGGGCTGGCACTGAAGAATATTGTCTTTAAGTGGACTTTTTGGTGATAGTGATAATATGGGAACAGCTCCATTAGGTTGATTACCCCCACGCTGCCTGAGCTGATGGCAGTGGATGTGGGTCAGGGTTTGTCTTTGGGCTGTGAGGAACAAAGGATTTATCCCTACTTTTCTTGTTGGATGACTTGGAGAGTATTTTGAGAAGCGAATAACCACTGGATTTGCTTCCATCTGCAGGAACACGGGCTTCTCCTCCTAGCTCCTATCTCACTGCTTCATCCATGCCTCTCTGCTGCGTTTCCGCTCCGTGTTGCCTAAAGCAGCAGATCCCTGCCCACGCTACTGGGAGCACAGACATGTGCCAGTGCCCGGCCCGGCGCTGTGGCTCCCTGGGGAGGCGGCTAGCTGCGAACAAAGGCTGTGCGGAGACGCGCGTGGGCCGCTCCCGCAGTCCCCATCCTGCCCTTAATTACGAGCTAAGCGGTGGCTAATAAAGATGAGGCAAAGCAAATAGATCGAGCCGCCATTCTAATTAAACGGCGTGCGACGGGCCAGACTCATCTGTGCGACAGATCAGCACGAGCCGAGAGGGCTCCACGAGCGTTGGATGGAGGCTGCATCGCTCCGAGCGGGGAGCGCAGCGCCGCGCGTCCCCTCGGCCGGCACCCGTACGGCCACGCTGCTCACGGGCTCGGCACGGCGCTGCTGGGCGCTGACACCTCCCTCGTGGCTGGTGCCAATCGCTGCCCAGCGCGGCCCGGCCCCTCCCCGGGCGGGCGGTACGCGGGGTCCGGAAGGCAGCGGGAGCGGCATGGCGGCGGCGGCGGTGGGGCGGCGGTGCGGGGCGGCCGGGCGGAGCAGAACGGGAGCGCGTCCACATCGCGTTCCCTGCCCTTACCCATCCATTTCAGAGTCCCCTTGCCTCCTCCCTTTCCCCATAAACTCTCTTCATCGTCTATCCCCCTAGTCCCCATTTCCCCCCTTCCATTCCCAGTCCGTTCCTCTATGACCCCCTATACTCCCTCTCCATTCCCTGTCCCTCCCATTCCTCATCTTTCCTATTCCACCTCCGCCCATTCCAAATCTCATTACCCCCATCTCAACTGTTCCCTCCAACCCCATTGTTTCCCATCCCTTTTCCTTATCCACCCCACTCCATTCCTCTACCCTTTCCCCCATCCCTCTCTCCATATCCTCATCACTCCCAGTCCCCATCCCTTTCTGCCCTACCTGTCCTCCCAGCAGCAGTGAGGGGTTGGCACTCCCCTTCACAGTTCCCCTTCACTTGCCTTCCAGGCTCTTCACCCTGAGGCTACCTGCCCAGCATGGTGCCCGGGGATACCGAGCAGCACTCTGCATGCATCTGGCACAGCCCCTGCTCGTGCAAGATCTCCCGGCACCTCAGCTGCAGCCATGCCAGGTGCGTGGGGACCATTGGGCATCAAAGGGAAGATTGGCTCTGGGTCTCTGAGCTGTGGTACACACGTTGTGTGGTCTCCACCAGGCTGGGGCAGTGTCTCTTTTAAATCTCTGCTCTTGGCTGAATGTAGGAGTTAATGTTTGTCCCCTTCTCTCGCAGGTCCGTGTGCGTGTCCATTACTGCGGGTTAAATTTTGCTGATATCTTGGCCTGCCAGGGGTTATACCAGGAGAAACACACTCCTCCGTTCACCCCTGGTGAGTGGGTGACCAGATGTCATAGGTGACCAAGTGTCACATCCTATGGGAATGAGCTGCCCTCGAGGTCGAGGACGCTGCTGACTTGAGGCAACTTCTGGGGTCAGTAGGATCACATTTGGCATCCTCTGAAAAATACCCAGTGCGAAATACTTTGCATTCTCAAAGAGGACTAATATAGAGAGAGCAACAGCAGATATCACCTTTGCTGGAAGCTGAGAAAACTGAGACATGCAGTGCTTTGGGGTAGGCAGGGTCTTCCTGTCTGGAGCCCAGAGCTCTTGCAGCTCAGTGACTGCCACAAGCACAGGTGGCAGCTGTGCCACATCTGCACAGGGTCAGTCACTGTGTTGGTGGCACCTCCTGTCCCCCTGCAGCATCTGTCTTCTGCAAAAATGCATTGGGATTCTGAATTACAAGGAATTCTTAACTAGAGGTGTTTGCTGTCTCTTGTGCTGATGCTGCCATCTTCTGCCCAGTTGGTGCTTTGCTACTGGGAACTTCAAATCGTAGAATCTCTGAGGTTGGAAAAGCCCTTTGAAATCATCACGTGCAGCTTCTGCGTGGCCTGGGCCTGGGGCTGCTCCATGGGTGGGTGCTCAGCAGCCACTGGAGCAGAGCCCAGGGTAATTTCCTCACATTGTGTTGTTACAGCTGATGCTTGGAGGGCTTGGGGGCACAGCAGTGCCTGTTGCTGGAAGGTTTTCTCCCAAATTCCAGGTGCTGGAAGCAAGAGCTCATGACCTGGCTCTGTTAACTGAGGTTGCTGCTAATTATGGGTGTGAAGGCGGGTTGTGTCAATGTGTGCCCCATGTGCATGTACTTATCCTGCAGGAATGGAGTTTTCAGGGACTGTAATGGAGACAGGAGAAAACGTCAGTGCTGTGAAGGAGGTGAGAACAACATGGGGATGTAGGGAAACTCAGCATACAGTTAATGCAGTCACTGTTGGTAGACACAGCTTGAGCCGTTCACAGTTCCTTCTGAAAACATAGGAAAATGAAATGCACAATTAAGAGGGGGCTGCACCATTTGGTAATGCATACAAACAGGCAGCCCAGAGCCCCATGATGGAGTCACAATCCCTGGAGGCGCTCAAGAGCTGTAGAACTGAGGGACATGGTCAGCAGGCATGGGTTGATGGTTGGACTAGATGATCTTATTGGTGTTTTTCAACCTTAAGGATTCTGTGATTTCTCTCCCAGTCTCCACACAGTGACTGTTTTTGCAGGGTCACAGGGTGATCGGTGTGTCTGGCATCAGCGCTATGGCAGAGGAGTGCATTGTCGATGAGAAGGTGAGAACACCAAGCATTTGGGTTTCCCTCTGAGATCAGCACTTCAGCCTTGCCACAGCTGCAGTGGGATACAGCATGCGTGGGGCATCTTTTCCAAAACAGCATGCATCTACAAGATGCAAAACCTCTTTAAAAACAAGTCCTTTCACATGGTGAGCCCCAGTGATGCTGTCAGCCCATTGAATCCCACATACAGGCACTATGGCAGATCCCTGACAGCGTGTCCAGTGAGGATGCAGCAGTGCTGCCCGTTGCTTATGGCACAGCCTGGCTTGCTCTGCAGCACCGAGCACATCTGCAGCCACGGTGAGCAGCTTCACTTCAGTTCAGCACAGCCCCCAGGGTGACTGGGACTCAGCATGCCCTGATAGCAGGACAATCCCCCTACTGCTGAAATATTGCTCTATGAGGGAATTATGGGCATGTTTCTATTGTGCTTTCTCATTCTTTCTCTTCCTGCCAGGGAAACAGTGCTAGTGACAGCAGGAGCTGGAGCCACTGGCCTTGCCATCATTGATCTGGCTGTCAGCGTGTTCCAGGCAAAGGTACGGAGGTGTTGTCCTTTTCACCTGTCCTCATATGCTCCAGCCTTGGCAAGCAGGTGGCCTGGAGTCACAGTGATACAGTGGCAGAAAACCAGGATCAGGCATTTGCTGGGTCACACACCAGAACCACAACCCTGGTGTCTCATTTCCCTCCTTTACTCTACCTTCATTATAGATCCCCACTGCCCCCTTGGGCAGCACAAAGATCCTTTGCATCTGCCCCATGGGTCGTCATTTCAGAAGGGGGTTAGAATTCTGGAACTCCTGTTTCCAGCCCCATGAAAATTGTTGCCTCAGTGTGCTTCTTTTGATGCACACGAGAAAATATTTGAATATACATAAGGAGAAAAGTGAGGTTTCCAACTCCATTTTCTCTAATTAAAATAAGCACACCTAGAAGCTGAGTGGCTGCAGCACAGGCTTCCCCTCTGCTCTCAGGTGATAGCAGCAGCTGGCAGTGACCCCAAGTGCCAGCTGGTCCTGGCAAATGGGGCAAGCCATGCAGTGAACTACAGCCAGAACAGTCTCAGGGAGCAGGTGACAGCACTCACAGGTGGCAGAGGGGTCAACGTGGCCATCGATGCTGTTGGTGGGGACATCTTCAAGGCTGCCCTGCAGAGGTGAGTGGAAATAAGAGGCGATGCTATTGGCATGCCTTGAGCAAGGTGAAGCTCTACCTGCCTCAACTGGTGGTGGAGGCAGAAATCATAGAATAGAAGAGAGACCATGGAACCATTAAGGTTGGAAAAGGGGGGTTGGTTAAACCCCAGCCCATTCCCACCATGCCCACTGACCATGCCCCTCGGTGCTATACCTCCACAATTCTTGAACACCTCCAGGGACCTCCCTGGGAAGCCTGTGTCAAAATCTCACCACTCTGAAAAGAAACTTCTCCTAATATCCAAGCTGGAGGATGCATTTGCTCAACCCCACATGGCTTCTCATGGCCAGGGTAGCATATATTGCCTTGGGATGAGGTTTCAAATACCTGTCACTTGTCTTCTCGCAGTCTGGCTTGGGAGGGCAGGATTGTGGTGATGGGTTTTGCTGGAGGGAAAATCCCCTCAATTCCTGCCAACCTGCTGCTCCTGAAGAACGTGTCAGCCATGGGAGTGTACTGGGGTCGGTACCAGCAGGAGGACTTCCCCCTTTTCTCCTCTGCCATGTCCTCCCTTCTTCAGTATTGCCAGGAGAGAAAGATCCATCCACACATTGGAGCGGTCTTCAAGCTGGAAGAGGTACACGTGACTCAGAACTGTTAGCCGAGGCCTTTTTATGGGGGCAGAAATAGGTTTGTCTGTGCAGTTAGACCCCTGGCACAGAAAATGCAGGAGTCCTAAAAAAAATATTAAATCAAAAAATCCCATTTTCCCTCACCCTTTTTAATCTTCTTCCATTGGGTTTCAGCCAGAGAGTTGTTAACTTCTGGTTTGTTACTGCAAGGCCAGAACTGCAATGTGTTCAATGGGGAAATCATAAAAACACATGCTGCTACACCAAAGAGTTTGTGGTCTTAAAGAATAATGTGCTGGGATAATATCTTAGAAGTGGATTAGTGGATTATGATGTGCCTTCATTTGCATTTCCCCCCAAGCACCTCTGAAAGTGCTCAAAACACTTCTTTTCCCCCCGTTATGATGGTCTTTCAAGCCTTATATAACAGCTCCTTAGAAATGCCCACGTAGCCCCCATCCAGCAAACTCAGGGATGCAATGTGGAGGAATACCCAGGAGCTTGTTGGCTTCTGAGTTGTTTCAAACCCAGCATTGGATTCCAGGGACAGAAAGCCCAGGCTCAGATACAAAACACGAGCTCCTTGTTCACACCAAACAAAACGTTACAGCCTATTGTACAGCCCACATAAATACAACCAGACCCTTGGTTTAGCTTAACCTCTTATTGAGTGAATAACACTGCAAACATTGCAGTACAGCGACTACTTCCACATGTTCTGCACCTCCTACCCTGATGATCATCCCCATAAGCACTCAGAGTTTTGTGCTTGCAGGTGAATGAAGCCTTCAACCATGTGCTTCAGCGCAAGTCCACTGGAAAGGTCATCATCTCCATGAAGTAAAAGGGCTGTGAGGGATTTCTTGCATGGCTGTGCATATGGTAGACTGGAGGACCCTCAGCCGACCTTGCGCATGTCCTGCATCATCATATGTCTATAAGAGCACTAATTCTCACAAGGCTCTCTGACCTTCCAAAATCATCAATAAATTTATATGGCACTCCACATCTGACCCAGCAGCATTTCTGGGGGCAAAGAGTCACGGGGCTGGTGTGGATGTAAGCTGGATTCTGGCCAGCAGTAGGCTGTGAGCCACTTTTCTCCCACTGGGAACAGCTGAACTTCCTACATTGGCTGCGGGAGGAGAGGAAACCAGCTCAGTTCCAGCCTTTTCCCTACCCTTTTTAATACATTTTGAGCTGGACAAAGAAGAAGATAATTAACTTGAGTCCTGATGATGCTCATTTCTGAGCCACTGGGGTAGGCAGTGGAACAGTGCCCTGCCAAGCACCTGACGAACACCTTGATGGAACACTTGGATTTGAAAGAAAGAGCAATGGGGAGGACCTGGGTGTGAAGCACAGAGCAGTGACGGCTCCCTCTGCCTGCCCTGCCAGGTGCCTGCGTCTGCTCCTGACCCCACATCAGCTGGCTCAGTCCCAGGAGAGTGATCACAGTTGCAATTACCTCCATACCCATTATGGCAAACAAAAGCAACCCGAAACTCTAGTAACAAGCAGGCTATACTCTTTGAGGCTTAACAGGAGGGACTTGAGCTTTAATGGACTGCAGAGACACAATAGTTGAGCCATTTGATCTGACAATACTTAAATTTGTCTGCACTGTGTCCTGCTGTTCCAGCTCCCAGTGTTGTGTAGGCTCTGGCCCCACAAACTACTACAGCATCACCTCATTATGAAGCACTGCAATAGCCCTCCTGCTTTCCTAGCATGCCTCCACTGCAGCAACTCCAGCTCAGCCATACTCCCCTGCTTGCTGCTGAGCCTCACACCCTGGAGGAAATTATTTAACTCTCATCCATCCTCTAGAAGCCTTGCAAATTCATCATGGTACATGCAGCTTCTCCTTTCAGAAGAGTTTTTTTTAAAGCTTATTCCACTGGTAATAGCAGGAAACTGCCTGCTGCAGTGAAGGATTCGTCCAAATAAGCTGAGAGCCATAGCTGGGCTGTAGGAAATGCCCAGCTCACTTCAGTGCTTGAGCTATCACCACACTTTAGGTAAACGGGCTGCCTAAAGGAAAAGCTCTAGCAGAGGCTATGGTACAGTGACTTCAGCCTGCACTGCTTGAGCCATCTCCTGGGAGTTACTGATAACATTTACAATTAGTGGTACCTGACAACAGAAGAGGAGGACCCTTGCCCTATTCACCTACTAAGCTTCCCACAGCATTTAAGGTCAGTGCACTCATTAGCCTTCAGCACTCATTAGTTTTTAATCACCACCCTTCTATCAATTTGCTTAACTGAAATAATAACTCTGGTTTCTTCAGGTCACACCACAGGGGATCCTCAACTTAATTATGCAGAAGATGTAAATAAACTGATTTTAAGAATGCTTAATCATGCTAAAATTGTTCCACGATGAGGGGCTCTGAAAAAAACCCGTTCATAATTATTTGAGTATTGCTTACCTCCATCACACCTTGATATTCCTCTGTTGAGGGAGAAGGACCTTCAGGCATTCAGGGGCACCATACCTTACCTCTTCAGTAATTAAGACAACTTGAAAAACCTTTTACTTGTTGTTCCCAAACAACAGTTCCAGGTAATGGAATAATAAGCTGTTCAGCTCATAGCTTCGTGGTACTTTTTAGGCTTTACTAACTACTTCTCAGCCTAACACACAATTCCTACAGCTATTTTTCTCAAGTACTACCAGCAACCAGCACTGGAATAAAACTCATCCTGTACTATTCAATACATAAACCCCTCAGCTCCCTCCGAGTGCCTTCATTAGCCTTAATGGCCATGATGGGCCTCACCTGAGTGCCCTCACCCATGGACTGGGATCCTATACAAACTCAGCTCAGGAAATCATTTGGTGTTTTTTTGAATTGTGTTGTAGGTGCACTATTTTTTTTAGTTTACCTGATTTTGTTTTTTTGAGTTGTGAACTGACTTCATTGCTGGATTTCAGGCCTTGCCTCTACAGGTGTGCTTAGGAAAACATCTTTCTTAGAAAGAGCAGTGAGGTATTGGTACAGACTGCCAGAGAGGTGTTAGAGCCTCTACTCCTGGAAGTGTTCAAGAACTGTAGAGGTGTAGTGCCGAGGGCTGTGGAAAGTGGGTATGATGGATAGGTTGGGTTTGACGATCTTCAAGGTCTTTTTCAACCTGAATGGATCTACGATATAAGGGAAGTTTCAAGACCCTTGGCTGTCTTGTTCCCATACTGGGATGGATTCTACCAGGCTTTTGTTTGCTCAATCCAGCAGCACTCTGATGCTCCTTTAGCTCATATCTTGAGTTTTACTGCTCATATGTGGTATTAATACTAAGTCTGCTTGGCCTTGAAGATCATCCACTATCCTAGTGGTTTCTATGTGGCAGCCATGGAACACTGAGGAAGGCTTGCTCTCCATCCTGGTCCTGGCACCCCAACCTGAACTGCACCTCCTAGATGCTGTGAGAATGTACTGCATTACACCCAAACTCTATCCATCTGCCTTGAGATGAGCTCATAGGTACCAATGAACTGCCTACACGTAGTGGTGAGTACCTGCTGCCTCTTGCTGAGTGCTTGCTATTGCCTACCCCTGAGTGAGGGGGTAGTAAGGCAATGGAGGAAAGGAGCATGCAGCATGCCAGGGTGTGTTGCATCCCTGTTTGGTAATAAAGCAGTAGGGAAACAATTGCAACTACCTGCAGGGTGCTGCCTTCTCTGAGGCTGAGAAGGATTTATCCAGCTCTTCAAAGCAGCTGCAGTTTAGCTACTCGCAATCTGCAAAAATTGGAGTGGAGCAACAGTAAAGCACAGCTTTCAAAACCTCATTTTCCTTTTTTCCTTTCAAGCTGACAATAAGATTTTAAGAAAAACTTTGAATAATGGATACACTTTTGAATAATGGATGCTCTGTAGCCCAAGTCCCTTGCCTTTTCTCTCTGTGCCTGAGTGAGAAGGCTTCTAATTGCCAGGCACGTGGAGAGGAGGTGTGGAGCGCTTTGTCTCTCGCACTGCTGATTAACCAATGTGTACGTGCACATTAAAAATTCAGAGGTGGGTAAGCACATCCCAGCCCTGGGCTGTGTGCTCTGCACCGTGGCTTTTATCAGCAAAAGATCTGGCACAAGATGTTTTGCATTTGTTCTTGTTTTCTTGTTGCTGTGGCTGAGCATAATCCTCCTTTTTGGGGGTCAGATTTGGCTGTTTCCATGGAAGTGCTGTTCCTATATGCTGATCAGGGAGGGAGTTTTTAAATAGGGCTACCCAAACCAACACCTGTCCTGAGGGTTATGGCCTTGTGGGGGCTGTCTTTTGGGCCGGTGTATGTTTTTTTGTGCTGGATTCTCATCTGCTCCATCCCTTTGTGCTGCTCAGTGTTTTGAATCTAATATTACGTGTGCTGGTGCCCCTCTGGCTCCTCAGTCTGCCCAGAAATGCGCCAGTCTGGAATATTTCTTCTCCAAGCAAACAGTGATGCAGTGGCACAGGCTGCCCATAAGAGGTGGTGGGGTCACCATCCCTGGAGATGTTACAGAACAAATGGAGATGTGGCACTGAGGGATGTGGTCAGTGAGCATGGTGGGGGTGGGCTGATGGTTGGACTTGATGATCCTAGAGATCTTTTTGAGTCTTAATTATTCTATTATTTCAACCCTTGATGCTAGAGCAGTGAAATAGCTGTGCAGGTGCACTGAGGTGAAGCGAAGGGTCCTCTGGTCTCTGCTAATCAGGCATTTTTAAGAACCTCACTAGAGGAGGTTGCCAGCCGGATATCTGCCTTCACACAGCTTGTTCCCTCTCAATTCTGCAGCTTCTTGCCTCAGAGGGTAACTACAATTTAGTTTTATTTGCCAAAATTTGACATGACTTGAGACTGTGATTTACTGGCCTTGAGGAATATGGTATATGTAACCGTGGAGGGTGTAAGTGGCTTTTCATGGCCCAGGAGTTGTAAATTGAGATGAAAAAAAATGAGGGAAACATTACTGTCCAACTTTACAAGGTAGCACTAACAACAGGACACACTGAAGCCATCTGTAACTGTCATGGGTCTTTATGGTCCCTGATTGTGTGCAGTAAAGCTCCTGAATGAGCCCTGTGGTCTCTAACGCAGAGGTAACCAATGCTGAGTGCCGGAGGAGACACCAGATGGCAATCTCTTCACGAGCTTACTTGGTTGTCTCAGGGCTGAGGAATTGCAAGCTTTCCTTAGGCTTGCTGGGGGCCTAGGGAAGGGTCGCTGCTACAGCAATGCTTGCTGGGGGCAGTGGGAGCATTTCCTCTGCATTTTCATAGAATCATTTGAGCTGGAAGGGACCCATAAAGGCCATCTGCTCCAACCCCCTGCCCTAAGCGGGAACACCCACAGCTCCATCAGTGCTCAGAGCCCATCCATCCTGACCCTGTATGCAGGGATGGGGCATTACCACCTCTCTGGGCAGCCTGGGCCTCACTGCCCTTATTGTTACAAAACTCCTTCCTTCTACCCAGTCTAAATCTCCTCTCCTTTAGTTTGAACCCATTTCCCTTCCCATCACTGCAGACCCTCCTAAGTTGTTTGTCCCCTCTTTCTTATAGCCCTCCTGCTTGCCTTGTGACAATTTCCAGGCTTCTTGGTTCTCTGTGACCATTTTCAGCTGTTCTGTGTTGCAATGTGGCAGCGTGACCCGGGCAGTGTGACAGCACTGGGTTGTTTCTGTTTGTTTTTATCAGCAGACAGCCAAATTTGTGATGTGTAGTGATCACTGCAAGGCAGTTAGCAAGTGAGATAAACAGCAATTTTATGGCTGGGAAAACTGGCAGGAGGGGGCTGCAGGGAAAGGTGAGATGGCAGTGGCTCCGAGCACCTGATGGAGCTGTAGGTGTCCCTGTTCAGTGCAGGGGAGTTGGATCAGATGACATCTAAGGGTCCCATCCAAGTCAAATAATTCTATGATTCTACGACTGAACTCCCTACTCAGTCCCTGTTATCCTTTGGGCATCTCCCAGAGAGATGTGCAGCAGCGTGGCCTTCATTTGGGCTGGGAAATACTGGCAGCA